CTTACTGTCTTCTCTCTCATCCATCTTTCCTCTACTTTCTCTCTTTTCCCTTACTCTCTGTCCCTTTTCTCTTTTTCATCACTCCCTTATTCTCTTCCCATCTTTATCTCCCTCTCTTACTTTCTTTCCATTCACCTCTTCCCCTCTTACTCCTCTTACTCTTTCCTCCCCTCTGCACCTCACAGTCTTCCTCTCTCATCCTCTCCCCCTCTTTCTCTCTCCCTCATCCTCTCCCCCTCTTTCTCTCTCCCAATCTCTCGCTCCTGTCCTACTTGCTCTGTCTCGCCCCTCCCCCCTCTTTCTGTCTCTTTCTCTTCTCTCTCTCTCATCCTCTTCCCCTCTTACTCTCTCTCCCTCTCCCCCCTTTCCTCTCTTCCTCCTCTCTTACGTGCTGTCTCTCATTCTCTTCTCCTCTCTCTCTCTCTCTCTCCTAAAACTGGAAACAAAAGGGCATTTTCTCCACTTTGTCACTGAGGTGAGGTTAAAAAGCCTGCTCCCCCCAAAATAGCCCCTCATTTGCATAACACCCATAATTCTCAGGGTGAAAGCGGGGGATGACTGGAGGAGCTGCTGGGAAACACAGCTGTTCAGCAGCAGAGAGAATTTCACACACAGGTGAGCGTGAATGAATAAACGACTGCATGAATCAGCTGCTAATTCATTTTCATACAGTGGAAACTCAACATTCCTCATTTTTCTAGATCAGATAAACACTGGTAACGTTTCCTCCTCAGTGCGGAAACTAAGCTGCAAATAGAGCCTGTTTTGCACAAACACTGTTTTGTGACGTCATAAAAACCAGCTAATTTACATATCAAACTGTTCGGCTTAGAGCGGCCATCCACACTGAAGCTGTAAGGAGTGTTTCAGCCTGGCCAGCTTCACGAATGAGGACACAACACAGGGAGGCCAATCAGAACAGCGCTCATTTACATACAAGGCTGGGTGCCCCGGTCAAATGTACGTTTTGGTTTTCTAAGTAAGAATAAGTGAACACATCATCCACTCCTGCACATTTTAGTGCACAGTTACTGTGTATTTTATTGAATTTATCAAAAATAACATCTAAAATGCAGCCCGTGCAAAAGTTATGGCACCTTTTATACAACTCCATTTCCAAAAAAGTTGGGACGCTGTGCAAAATGTAAATAAAAACAAAACGCAATGACGTGCAAATCATTTAAACCCTATATTTCAATGAAAATAGTACAAAAGCAAAAAAATCAAATGCTGAAACTAAGAAATTTTATTGTTTTTTGAAAAATATTTGCCCATTTTGAATGTGATGCCAACAACACGTTCCAACAAAGTTGGGACGGGGGAACAAAAGGCTGGTAAAGTTGTGTAATGCTAAAAAAATCCAGTATTCATGATGGTGTAGGGGGACAATAGTGTGCATGACATGGGTGACGTGTACATCTGTGAAGGCACCATTAATGCTGAATGATATATACATGTTTTAGCAACATATGCTGCCATCCAGACAACGTCTTTTTCTTGAAAGGCCTTGATTATTTCAGCAAGACGATGACAAACCACATTCTGCATGTATAACAACAGCATTGATCCGTATTAAAAGAGTCCAGGTGCTAAACTGACCTGCCTCCAGTCCAGACCTGTCACCACTGGTAACATTTGCCGCATTATGAAATGAAAAATACGACAAAGGAGACACCGAACTGTTGAGCAGCTGAAATCCTGTATCAAGTAAGAATGGGAAACATTTCTCTTTCAGAACTCCAGCAGTGTCTCCTCAGTTCCCAAACACTTACAAAGTGTTGTTAAAAGAAGATGAAACACAGTGGTAAACAGGCCCCCGTCCCAACTTTTGTGGAACATGTTGTTGGCATCAAATTCAAAATGGGCAAATATTTTCAAAAAACAATACATTTTCTCAGCTTCAACATCTTATATGTTGTCTTTGTACTATTTTCTAGGGTTTAAATGATTTGCACAGCACTGCATTTTGTTTTTATTTACATTTTGCACAGCGTTCCAACTTTTTTGGAAATGCGGTTGTATTCTGTGTTTTTTTCTCTCATGCTAAACTCAGCAAATAAACAGAAATTGTACTGAAAAAGTACATACAAGTGGACATCAGGGGCAAAATATACGATACAACACAGGAAAAATGTAAGATACTGGCTCTTTAAAAATGTAGTTCAAACAATGCACACACACTTGCCACAGTCCAATTACTTATGGACTTCACTGTAGTATTAATATTAAACTGAATTAAACAGAGCTACTGGTGCTGGCTTTAACTGCCATAGAGATGCTGATACATATTCTTGTTATGACGGACAGCGAGCTTGAAGAAAAATGTCTTATTCTGCTCAAATAACTCAGAAGAAAGACTATTATATCTTGTAGTTACTAGAACAGAACAACCCAGCAGGAGAAGTGAATATGATTTAATCACAGAGGGAGCGCATGCAATCTCAGGTAAGAAGAACCTTAAATTGAACCCTTTATAGTATCAGTCATTGCAGGTAATAACATAAGCATGCTGTAATTGTAATATGAAATATTCCTGACCCGTAGTTTATTAAAACAAGCAGAGCAATTGCATTGAAAGTGCAGGTTCTAAACTTTCAATCCATACCAGATTTGTGTTTCTAAGTAAAAGAGCAGATATTTTGGTGCTGTTTTATAATAAGTGTGTATAATAACTGTGTAGTTACACATTAACAATACAATAACAATGTAACTACTTGTGATACGTTCACAGTTACAGACGGATTACAGTAGCACAGCTTATGTAAATACACGTGTAACTTGATATTTGTAACGGCATGTACTTCCCTATGTAATTATGCATGTGTAATAGGGTAATTACATTTGTACTACCTGTTATTTATTCTGATTGTGTAATTAGCTACATTATGGAAGTACTTACACTGCATCTGCACAGGAAACGACAACTTCCCTAACATTTAGTTATCTGTATTAGTGCACCTGTATGGTTCATGGTAACCAATGTTCTGACTTTAAACCATTCTGTAATGTGATGCTATTTACAGCAACAGACGACATCTATTTATTTTTTGATTTGATCCAGTTCCCATGTTACAACACTAATAATCCACTGTAACTATGTGAAAGTGACGCGCTAAAGTAAGAAGCCAGTTTCCCAGGTAGTTGTTAGGGAGGTGCAGTGAAACTACAGATCCAGATGTATCTTTTGGGCAGTATAATAAAGCAATAACCCACGAGAGGCTGTGTGTTACTGCGACTCTATCACGGGGAACGGTGTTATTAGGCCTGGCACGAAGCGTAGTAAAACTCCCTTCCCTGTAATAAAATCACTGTAACGCACGGCTTCAAATGGCTTTTAGAAGTTATTTTTAATAATAATCGACATGAACAAGTATTATAGTTCCTTAAGAGTATGGTATGGACTGAATGGTATATGGACTGAATGAGGAGAATGTTACCCATCGCTGTATGTTGAGGTCATTTCATGATTTTTGGTTTTACTTTTTGTCGTATAATAATGAACACATGATAACACAGGACTGTTTAATGTAAAACCTTTCCCCAAATTACCACCGTGAGTCTTATTTCACACAAATCCAGCGACGCCCTCTTCTCACACTGTGGCTGAATCTCAAACGGCTGTCTGCTGCCTACATAGTGCACTGCGTAGGAGTTTAAATACTGGATCCTGCAGCTCAACGGTGCAAAATACAGCTAAGAAATGGTCATTTGGGATTCAGACACATCTGCACTCGATAAATACTGCACTGTTTGGCTGTAGAGGCTAGACTTTCGAAACTTTCATAGCTAGAACACTGTTTAGGGAGTACGGAGCCGTTTGGGATTCAGCCTGGGTTTGACGCGACTTCTGACAAACACGGACATTTGAGGCATTTAATCCATTCAAGTGACATTTTTAGACTTTTATACTGCTGTTTTATAGTGAATCATACCAGAAGAACTTTAATTCAAGCCTGTGATATTAATGATGGAGTTGTTTAGGCTGCTGGCTCTTTTAGCCTGTTAGCTAGCTGACCAGCCTAGTTCTAGTTAAGAACATAAGTTGTCAGCCCCTCAGTTTAAACAAAAAATGGGTTCGTACTTTATCAGTAGACTCAGTGGTTCCTGCGAGCAGCAACAGCATAAGGGTTTACTTGATGTGGTGCAGTAATACAGAGTTCAGTCGCTGTGAGGTGGTCGAAGGTGTGGGCATATCGTGGATTTTACAATGGCTTTGAACAACTGGCTCAGCCAATCAGATTTCAGGACCGGAACTATCTGTTTTATAATAAAACACGTAATATTACTTTTAAAAATCTGAGCTGTTGCTGTTTAAATACCATCACATCACAGAATGGGTTAAAGCCAGTCTGGTTACCATGTACAACCCAAGTGTACTACTGCAGCTAGCTAATGTTAGGAAAGATGGCATCCTCTTTGCAGCTGCAGGGTAATCACTCTCAATGCGGCTAATTATTAAATTATCCAGGTCATACAAATGCATTTACCCTCACTCTATTACACGTGTAATTACATAAAAGAAAATGTGTTATGATACAGGGTGATTACATTTGTATGTACTGCTGTAACAGTGTAATAATCCATCTGTAACAGTGAAGTGCACTCCTTTGTTGTTGCGTGCATAGTTAATGTGTTACTACACACTTTTTTAGAGACACAATATCAAGCAGGACCCTATATTTTATTGATATTTGATGACATCATTGTCGAGTTCAGTTTTATTTTGCATTAAAAAAATATACATTTTAGTCACTGATGTTAAATGAAAAAAACAATGTAAGTGGAACTCGAATCTGTTGATGCAGAATACAAACTCAATTGAAATGTAACTCATTATGTACGTAATTATGTAGTTATTTTTAAACAATGCAGCAAAATGACAATAAGATAACTCGACTTCTAATGGTTCAACGTGGCAAAGAGAGAAAACAAATGCATGGAAGAGGGAAAAGAATGAAGTGTGAGATAGAAGAGACAGAAAAATAGACAAATACACTTACTCCTCCTTTTCCCCACATCTCCTTTGGAGGTGGCTGCCTCGTTCAGCAGCACCATCCCCATGGTGATAGCAGCATCTGTGACCATCGTCAAGGAAACAACAGAAGAGAAGGCACCCACACTGACCGCTGACCGGACAGTAGAAACCCAGACAGGCTATTTTTATTTTGGACCACCACTTTTATTTTTATGGATGAGAAATAAATGTGATAAATATATGTTTGTGTTACACATACGGTTTAATTGGGAAAAATATGTTTAAACATCATGAATATACGTGACAGTGTGCTAAATATTTGGCTTATATATATATATATATATATATATATATATATATATATATATCATATCTATATATAAGACAATGAAAACACAATGAATATATGTTTAATTGTGATGAATTCATATTTGATTCTGATAAATACATGCTTATGTGTGATGGATACATGTTTAATTGTGATTAATATAGGTTTCTGTGTAATGGATACATGTTAAAGTGTGAAATACATGCTTAAATGTTTATGTTCGAAGTGTGATGAACACATTGTTAAGTGTGATGAATATGGTTGTGATTAATACAGGTTTAAGTATAATAAATAAATGCTTGTGTAATACAGGTTTAATTGTGATGAATACATGCTTGTGTGTGATGAACACAGGTTTAAGTGTGATGAATACAAGTTTAAGTGTGATGAATACAAGTTTGTCTGATGAACACAGGTTTAAGTGTGATGAATACAGGTTTAAGTGTGATGAATACAAGTTTGTGTGATGAACACAGGTTTAAGTGTAATGAATACAGGTTTAAGTGTGATGAATACAGGTTTAAGTGTGATGAATACAAGTTTGTGTGATGAACACAGGTTTAAGTGTAATGAATACAGGTTTAAGTGTGATGAATACAGGTTTAAGTGTGATGAATACAAGTTTGTGTGATGAACACAGGTTTAAGTGTGATGAATACAAGTTTGTGTGATGAATACACGTTTAAGTGTAATGAATACAGGTTTAAGTGTGATGAATACAGGTTTATGTGTGATGAATACAGGTTTAAGTGTGATGAATACAGGTTTATGTGTGATGAATACAGGTTTACGTGTGATGAATACAGGTTTAAGTGTGATGAATACAGGTTTACGTGTGATGAATACAGGTTTAAGTGTAATGAATACAGGTTTAAGTGTAATGAATACAGGTTTAGGTGTGATGAATACAGGTTTAAGTGTGATAAGTACAATTAGTTCTGTGTGTGATAAAAAAATGTATATTATTTATTAGTTATTCTAGATAACGTTTTAGCAAGAATTCACGTTTGCATATGATAAAAATGTGTGTGTGATGAACACAGGTCTCTCTCTCTCTCTCTCATTCCCTCCCTCTCCAGCAGCTCTCTCTGCCTGCTGCTTTGCCATGGGCTACAGTAAACAAACCTCCTTAATTAAACTGCAGACCTACACACTCTCACACACTCACAGGGGTGCAGGACCGCTGCCAGGTACTCTGTGTGTGTGTTTGTGTGTGTGCACGCATGTGTTGGTATCACATTTCTGACTGTGTGAACGATATCTCTCGTGTACGTATAAACGAACACATATCCAACACAGCGGGCAGTCTGCTAATCTAACGAGAGACCGTTAATTACCCCAGTGCTTTTAAAGGGACAATATGGCAAAAGTACACAGTCCCTCTTCGCCCAGATATCGTTGATAAGCCAAGACGTTTGGTGTCTGACGATTGCTTCTTTAGTGTTATACTAGAGCTAAGAGGCTAATGCAGCTAACACACAATGGAAGCTTATAACCCACCAATTAGCATCGTGCTAACGGCATGTCTAAATCATCACACACTTGCTTTGAACCATGAGGAGTTATTCAGTAACCTCTAATTGACTTGCTGATGTAGCTTCTGAGCAAGACTTCATGATCAACATACCACTGTCAAAAAATATTATCTATATTATACAATGATGAGCTCATTTTAATAAGAGCTTTAAAACACTATTTGAAATGCACTGAACAATAAATTTAGAAAGCAATGCTAAAATAATCCTCCTTTGCAGTAAACCATCTGCTGGTCACCATAGCAACACAGACAAAAATCTCGCCTAGCTAGCAGCTAATGAAACAGCAAAGAGAAAGATTTAAGACAAATATCAATCATTTGAGACAAACTGACTTATTTGCATTTATAATCACTCCAGCTGGTTTCCGGATACGATTAATCTGCAAAGAGAAACTGTCAAACACTAAAAAGTCGCGAAGCTGAAATCAATTTCACGTTCAGATCCTCCCGTTCCACATTAAATGGCACAGCAGTTACATTCTGGCGCCTCAGGCACCATTTAAGGTGGAACAGGGAAATCTGAACAAGACACTGGTGAATGAGAAGCGACTTCAGCCTCGTAAAAAGTCAAACATTGTGAGACATTTTATAAGAAACTTCTACTTTAGAGGAAAAGTTTCCTGCCGGAGATGCGAGAAAAGCAGCTATGGCTGAGCTAAAGCTTAAAGTAGAGCAAAGTGAGTCTGTTTTTTTGTTTATTCTACATTTTTTAGCCCATACTAGGACATTAGCACATACCGAGACGGCCAGGAGGGTAAAATGGACATAAAATGTTGTGGTTTGGTTTTTTGTTGAAAGGACAAACCGGCTCTTCCTAACATTTGGGTTGTGACCCCTGCACTAAAAGATAATTGCTGCATTTTCTGCTGCGGATGTCCAGATTTGGTACAGTTATAAGGCACCTGGAGCTGCTTACTAGGCTGTGATTTACAGGCGTAGAGGCAGCTCTGGGTAGGAATGAGCGTTCAGTCTCATGCCACACTTCTTGCCTTCCTTTTGACAACATCAAGCTGGTTCTGGCCTGCACTCTCCCACACAGCGGTAAACATTTTGGCGGCGCTGACTGCCTGCTCCAAACGCCATGGAAAACACCCGGCTTGTGTGATCAATTTATTTTTAGAAATTCTGGATTGTATATTTCAGAAAACAGAACAGGGCACACAATTATCTTTCCACTATCTTTTCTTTTTCCATACTTATCCAGATCTGGAAACTACTACAACGAAATTCCATACTTTTCCATGTTGCATGGGAACCCTGTACTCTGCATGACATACAGTTCCGCAAACATGGACAAAAGTTGATCACATAATAAGTGATGTGTAATTTGACTATATTCAACTGGACGTGGTTTAAGACAAGTGCCTCGTAGCTCCAGTGCGAAACTAAGTAGGCAAACTTCAGACACCAAACATCTCTTGGCTGATCGACTACACAGTGTAGGTTGCATAAATAAGACGTTTCGCTTTAATCACTCCTATCTGACACTGTGAGCTCCACCCCCTCCTGGAAAAAAACGTTTGCCAGTTCTTTATTAAAAACTTTGCCCTGAAAAAACATCAGTATCACTTACAAAAGGCCAAACGTAAAACTATACAACCAAATAAACAAACACGCTTAAGTCTTAATTAGCGGGTCACTGTTCTGAGCCAAAGCAAACGTAATGATCCAGCCTGGTTTCAGACGAAGTGGTCAGAGTAATACTGCTTAATAGCACTATGTATCATTCGTACAGAGTACATTAAACCTTTGGGGACGGGATGATTAGCCAGAAAATGAGCCTTAAAAGAGTTTGGGAAAAAGAACTAGTGTGGACAGTCCAACCGACACAGGTCATTCAGTTTCGTTCAGGCACGCTGGAGTGTGTTTGTGTGGTGTATTATAGAACGCAGTCGTTTTACTAGTCGCAGGCCTATTTACTAGTCGGACCCTGTTCTGTATGTGTTAGTGTCGCTTTGTTTTTCACTACCACTTCAAAACTGGGAAAGTAGTAAAAATAAAGGAGACCGTTTTATGACTCAGCGTGTTCGTTTGACCGCTTGGCATGGTGAAGCGTAATAAAGGATACTCAGCAGGAGGATGATGTGGGATTCAGCCACGAACTGAGCCTGACTGCTGCCATGGATGTAACTCTGCAAAGAGAGAGAGAGAGAGAGAGAGAGAGAGAGAGAGAGAGAGAGAGATAATACATTACATTTTGATATATTATTTAAAAATAATCACATAATTACATAATTAACAACATAGTTGTTGGAATGGAATTCATTACATTTACACTTCAGGGCTGCCAACTTTCTTTGGGGGGGATCCACAACATTTTATTATTATTAATTTTTTTTTTTTTTGTAATAAAGATAATTTTAGATGTCTGTATACACCAGCACTGAAATTCCACCTCAAATATCAACACAATTTTTTACCTGCCCATGCTCTAACCTGCCCGGTTTTCATGCCAGCACTACATATTTCAATTAAACACAAAACGAATATTACGTAAAGTATAGATAGGTGGCGCTAACACAAAAAGGGGGAAATCAAAGCCAGAAAAAACTCTTGCAAACATTTTTATTGTCTAAATTTGTGTCAACAGAGCACCAGCGTTCAGAATCAAGCCTGTACAGTGGTGTACGGCACTGGGAAGATCTGCTCGCTAAGCTAATGCTAAGGCAGCCTGTCAGGCTACAGACCCAAACCCCAAAGAACAGGTTTAGTTTCGCCTTTCTTTCCCTTCAACAGTCACTCGACTTCACTCTCTCAGATTTTAACCATTGTTTTTAATCATATAAACGTGTGTCGTGCTTTAGTTAGCCAGAATCAAGCATGCTCTGTGGTGGGCAGCTGCTCTCTCCTAGTTAGCAGCACTGTTTTATTCACCAGGGTATATTTTTGGTTTGTCCATCTGAATTTACATGACCACATCGTAAGGCAAACTATTCAGTAACTGCATAAAATAAATGTAAATTTTTATTTTATTTTTTTTTGTAAAAGCTCCCCTCAGATTAACAGAACATGTGTTTTATGATCACACATATTGATATATGCTTACAATTTACTGCTGAAAGCCAAAAATCTCAGACATTCTTTGTATTATTTTATAAAAATAATGTTTACAGAGCAGATCACTGAAGAGACGCCATCTGTTTATAGTTTATAGCCCAGA